CTTGCCACACCAACTACAAATTAAAGTCCTAGATTGTACTATCTCCTAGAGTACTTTAATATAAAAACATGGTTTAAAATATCAGAAAGTTATAGCAAACAAAATGTTAATGGTCAAAAAAGTATATTGGGGAATCTATTTCATGCTACTTGGAAAAATGATTATTGCTTCACTTATTCAACAATTAACCTTCCATGGTCATAATAATCTTTAGAGATATCTGCCCACAAATATTTTTGAAACTATGAACATAATTATTATCTTCAAAGATCCGTGCTTATTTCCTTTCTTTTCCCTCCCTTGTATCCTCCCTTCCTTCCTTTCTTGATTCCTTTCATTTGTTTTGATTCCTAAAATTGTTATGTTGCAAAATTTTGCTTTTTCTTAATACTCTTTCTAGGGTTCTATGGAACATAAATACTATATACACACATAACACATCAGACACATACATATGCACACATATACATACACATTATATACACAGACATACAAATCCCCACAGATACACGCACATAAACACATACCTCCTCATATACATACACACACCACTAAACATCCTTCCACCGTATATGATGCCTGACTTCAGATTCTGCAGCTTCAGTTTCTATGACCAAACTTCCTGGGACAAATACACGTTTCGTAGAACCTGAGTTTAGACTATTTAGGAAGCCCTCTATTTAAAGACAGAGTCAGAAGGCTTAACTAATTGCAGTAAAAATGTCTCACTTCTTCAGATTTTTAAAAAACATAACCATGAGAACACACTTCTAGAGCCCTCCCAGGGCCTTAGAAGGACGTGTACAAGAAGGGACCCTGGAGCTTATGCTTCATTTAGCATTAAATCTACTTCTGCCATCCCCACCTTGAACCACCTCACAAATTGTCCTAAGCAATTGACACAGACCCCAACCTATTCACTTTGATAAAATTTGAGGGGCTGTTAGGAAATCCTCACAAGACCAAGCAGTAGGAAATCCATATTTCTGGCANTGGATTTGCTATTCTTTGTTTACATAAATAATCACACACATACAAATGCAAACTATTTAAATTAAATTTGATTTCCTTGGTAGCTGAAGTGGTGATAAAATAAGTTTGACAAAACATGAGTTATCTTGAAATTGTCTGCAATCTAGAGCTTTGCTCTACTGTATTAAATCTGGGCTTATAAGCTCCAATATTATCTTTATTTGTGGATAAGGATGCAAGCCAAAATAGCATCCAAAATAATTCAATAAAACCACCTGCATTTAAAAAGTCTCTATTATCACAGATTTTAAGGAATGCTACAAGTAACTGTGTCAATAATTTACTGTAAACAGGACTAAAACAGATATCATTAGGAAGTATAACACAATACATCAAGTTGTTTATAACAACTTGCCACACCAACTACAAATTAAAGTCCTAGATTGTACTATCTCCTAGAGTACTTTAATA